GACACATTTTTATTATTGCTATTATTTCGACAGCACAAAACAGAACAATAAACCATAATTCACTCAAAATATTTTGGTTTACGCAGTGTTAGTACTCGTTCGCCTTAATAGAGCGTTGACGCGCGATAAAGGTTGGATCTCGTAGATATATCATAACATAACAATGGCTTACAAGTTATTGAGGAATGCCCACTTCACACTTTCACAAGTTTGTTATTCCGTGAAGCGAAGTGACGTCAATGGATACGTAAAATAAAAAATGCTCGCCTTTGGAATAGCTGACGTCGAGTTGGACGTTTAAATTATTTTTGGAGATAGAACTAGTCAAAAGGAACCCCTCCACATTTTCGGTTTTAGTAAACCAAGAATTTCAAGAAAATAATTTTTGAAAACTCATGAAAAATTGAGGCAAAAAACGCATTTCACAAATATCTATTAATGTAAAAATTGTGAAAAAAAAACCACATCGACGCAATTCAATGTATTGTGTTTGTTTCGTTAATCCACTGCTTATAGGATGGAAAAAAATAATAGTCTAAGGTCCACTGTCTTGGTCGGAAAAAAGTTTCGCATAATATGATACATGTTTGTATAGTTATAGCTACAAGGAGCGACGTAGAATTGTTATAACCACCAGATATTAATTAAATAATTAATTACTTTTCGAATTCCGGATTTCCGGAAATGGTTTTACTGCATCGTAGGGCAAAACTACTGACCTAGGAAGCAAAATTATTAAAAATTTTGGCAGCAAAAATAAAAACGTTCTTAACTGACTGAAAATTGGCATGTCTTTAAACTTAATTTGGATTACAAATTTCGTTTTCTCCATTTTTCGATATAACCGCTATATAAGCGATTTTTTTTATATGAATTACTGAAGCGGCGCAGGGCGAAGCCTGAAGTACTCACACTATGAAATGTAACATGGAGGCTCTATTATTAAGCGAGTACAAGATCTTATGGTCTTCGTAAGATTTCTTTTTCTTGGAATCTATGCCAAAGATATTTAATTTTTGGCAAAAAAATCCGGATAATCACTGTAGGAATTTTCTGTATTGTACCAGAATAACGATAACTCTGATAGCAATACTCAGAAAACTCATACCAGAACCAACATAGAAATGTTCGTTTCTTGAATTAGCCCGAATCAGGAATCGAACCCGGAACCTCCTCCTCGTCAAGCGCTCATAGTACTAGCCGCTGTGCCACCGAAGAGCGTAAACAGACTTCGTAACCTGCACCCAACCATGCGCAATTAAAGTCGTCAATAACCTGTTCTACGTTTTCCTTTTTACTATATTTATATATATATATATATATATATATAAAAAAAAAAATAATATATATAATTAAATTTAACTTAAAAATTAAACTTAAATATTAATTATAATCACAAAATAATTTCTGTAATTCAGGATTAATTATTTTGTTTAAGTTAGATTTCCCATTAATGAGGTTCGACTTCAAGTGTGGATTGTAAACAAAGGAGTGAATGTGTCTGAATGCCTTCCAAAAGTATTTCATTAACCATTTCAAAAAATCCGAAACATAACGATATTTGAAACAAAGGTCGAATACTACTGAAAAAGGATGCTGTTCCTGCAATACAGGTAACTGCTTCAAGTCTATAACTATTTTTCATGAAAAAGTATTATTCTTCTTCAATTAAATTTTCTTAAAATGTACTGCTACGAATTTAAATTATACTGCTAGAATGGAAATGTTTAGACATAGACACTTTCATTCTTTATTAGTAAAATCAACATTTAAAGTCATAAAAAATTATGAATTATATTCATATTATTTTCTTTATATTACTATTATTTAACCAATGTGATAACTGATAAGTTATAGATTTTAAATTTTTATTGAATTCATATTCAATTATTTTTTGTGAAATTATCCACTAGTTTGTTATAATTATTAATACAAAGACCGGCCGGATTCGAACCGACGTCTTCTACCTTACAGTGTCAGACGCTATACCAACTAAGCCACGGAACGAACCAGCGGACCTCACGAATTTTTCTATGTGCTTGTGTTGTATCTTTGTATTTGGTATTTTCAACGACTTTTTAGTCATAGCGCCATCTTTGAGAAATCTATGAAAGTTTTATCACCCAGTTAGATGTCTTTACAGTTACCAGCCCTGGCGAGAGATGTCGCTATTATTTTTTGTGAAATTGTCCACTAGTTTGTTATAATTATTAATACAAACATCGAACACTCAGAAAAAATTCCTTCGCTCCGGCCGGATGTGAACCCACGTCTTCTAGCTTACCGTGTCAGACGCTATACCAACTAAGCCACGGAACGAACCACATCAAATATACCGCCCAACGTTGCCCCTACCATTTAGAAATATTTGACTACTAACTTGGTTCATAATGGACCACCGATACAATAGAATTATAATAATAAAGTTTTATTGACCAAATAGGAATACATTAATTTGCATTTACACCATAAACCCTTATCTACCAATGATTGCTCGCGGTCCTTGCACTAAGTATAAACTTGTAACGCAGAGACCTAGTATATTATGTCCAGCATGGCACACAGTTAAGTTAAATGGGTTCAAGGGGTTTTAAAAATAAGTGTTTACATTAAAATTTATAAACCTCCGTATGTTTTGATTACAAATAAATATACTTTAATTAATTTTAAAAGAAGATTCAATGTGTTGATGTGTGTGTGTGTGTGTGTGTGTGTGTGTGTGTGTGTGTGTGTGTGT